GGACCAAACCAGTCCATCTACCTGGAATAAGTTGATGGAGGACAGAAAAGCCTGGTTCTTCCTGATGTTCTCAAGACGCTCCAGTTCATATTCAGACAACCCTCCTGCATAACCATCCTGTTACACAAAGACACATTATGCATACCACCTCCAACCCTTCACACACAGAACCTGCTCCACCATATTACACCCAACATGAATGCATCCCTGCACTTACAGCTGACTGGTCCACTTCATCTTCTGCATCTTCATCCTTTATGCGTTTTATCTCTGGCTTTTCTTGTTCGGTTTTTATTTTCTATGGAGGATTTTTTTTAAATGCACAACTGTTAACGAACAACTTTCCGACAGAACCAACCGAATCCCATTCAGTAGCTCCACTTACTTTCTTCTTCTTTTGATCCGGGGTGTCAGGAGAAAAGGCGAGACGTTTAGGGGCCACGGCCCTTCGAGAGGACCGTCGAACTGTTGCTTCGGGGGTCACGTTTTGTTCATCGTTCTGAGGGCAAAAGAAAACCGGTTACAAAGAGTTTCAGCGGATTAAAAAGCCCAAATGGAGGAGAGGGAGGCGGTTACCATACCTCAACAGACGCTTCTCGTTTCGTTTTTTTGGTCAACATGTCAGGATATTAGCTTTATCCACAGGTTGATAAATCCAGACAGTGAATGTCTGCTGTACAGCATCAAACTGCAACTCACAGTTACTGAAGTTAAAACATGTTTGGCGCCACACCGAGGAAGTGTTTTGTAACAAGACCCTCCCCTTTTCTCTTATGCAACGCAATGCAAACAGTTGATTGGACGCGCGCGCGGTGCACCTCGAGGCGCACTGCGCGCGCGTCCAATCAACTGTCTGCATTGAGACGTCTGCTTTAGGCGCAGAAATCCATAGAGAGAGTAGTTTATGTTATATAGCAGAGGGCTGATCTGACTGGATTGCATCCGTTCCACATTATATGGAACAGCTCTTATTTTTTGGATAATGTATCAGTTCTCCGAAACAACACAGGGTCCAGACCAGGAAGTACAGTTGTTGTTTTTTTTTTATTGAACAAAAAAATGATTTACATTTTCAAGTAGGAATCTCCACATTTCTTTCTTACATAAAAAAGAAGACAACATATATTATAAACTTAAATATTGCAAGGACACAGAGATGAATTAATAAATAATCAGGCAGTATTATTACCACCAAAGGAAACATGCAAAACTTATGAAAAAGAAGGAAAATTTAAAAGAGACAGCCTCATTCTACTACAAGACAGTTCCTTACGTCACGTTAACTTTTGCATTTTGCTGATCAAAAACCAGAAATCTTGACATTTCACTACATAGTTTTTGTATATGTCCATATTTGTCAGCTAACAGAGATAAAGAGGAGTAGAAGATTTTAAGTTTGTTTTTGAAACTTATTACTGAAGGTTTTTGATTTTTCCATTTACATACATGTATATGATATCTTTCCATGCTTATAACAATATTGACCATATCAGATAAGTCCTTCAGAATGTCATTCTTGTATGTTAATATTTGATTTAAGTACAGTTGTTCAGCACAGTCCCGCACCTCCACTACTGTCAACCCCCAGTCACACCTCGTTCAGCGTCTCCAAGGCATAAATGAAATAACATTTATGTTTATATTTACAGAAATACTTGGTGAGAAGCAGAGGCATAGCCAAATTTTTTTTTATAAGGGTGGCCAATAACACATGTAGACTGAGGGGTGGCCGAAAGTGGATAGGCACCAGAACCTCAGGGTCAATCTGCACTGTTCCAACAGGAAAATTAACAAGCAAAACATCCATATTTTCTAAATAAAGACTAACTATACTTTCCCACAGGCTTTGCTAACAAAAAGATACATATACCGTAAATCCTCTAATATAGGACGGGGCCTTTATTTCACTCAGGTACATCTTGGTCCAGGCCATTATTGGAAGGAGGCCAGAATTAGAGGCAGGCCTTTATTTGATCAAAACAGACTACCAATGAAATGAATAAAAACAAGATTTTGTCTCTTTGAACCTATAAAATAGTAGGTTCATTTATTGAAAAAGTAAAGTTATACAGAACGTTATTCAGACTTCTTCCAGCGGCTGCAATTTTTCTGCACGGCAATAACAGAAAAGAAAAAAAGACACAGAATGGAATATTGGCCAAACTGACTTGCGAAACTAAATTTTGCTGTTCTGCCATCACAGCAAAGTTTTATTTGAGGCAGGCTAAGTGGAAGTAGGCTGTGAGTATCATATATTTCAAGGGAAATTCAGAACAACGAAGGCCAATGAAGTTCTGTCATTTCAACGCTGCCTGGTTACAACCAGACCTACCGGTTATCACATTTGTCTTTCAGATCAGAACGATTGTGTAAGGTCACTACGATCTCTGTGTAAGGATGGGACTTCCCATGCTAATGGCTTAGATTCGTTAGCAAACATTGCCCCCCCACATTGTGGTACTTGTATGTTGCTATCACAAGTTGTTGAGGACTGCCCAGGAACATCGTTGGTTCTTATTATAGCCCGGCCTGTATACGAGTCCGTCCGTTATTTACCTTCGCCGACAGTGAGCCCGGCCATTGTTAGAGACCCGGCCGCTAATGGAATACAGGCCAATATTAGAGGATTTATGGTATTTAAATATCCGTAATTTCTAGATAAAGGTATAAAAATTAGGTTTGAGTTCTTGGGCATAAATCTTTTCCATTGTCATTACTTACCTACTTGTACCAATAAATATTCTGCATAAAATTGATATTTACAAGCACTAATATCTTTATTATTTTTTTTTTATTTACCGTATCTTTGATTTCACTGAAGACTCCTAGATGACTTGTAGAGACAGATATTTTTTTATTTTTTATATAACACAAAATCTAGTTCTGAAAAGAGCATGAATTATGTTAGTATATTGATGTGTATCATTAACCACAAAAAAAAAATCAAATGTTTTGAATATTCCACTTGAGAGTATTACTGCTGATACCATCTGTATTAGAGGGGAAAATGGTAGGGGGGGGCACAGGGGTGACCAGTGATTGGCTAAGGGTGGCCATGGTCACCCCTGGCCCTCCATCTAGCTCCGCCCCTGGTGAGAAGGAGAAGGTGTAACCACCTTTGAGTCGGATTTATTGCTTAGTCTGAGGCCAATTAATATTTAGAAATAGTCTTCCACATTCATTATGCAAAGTAAAATAAACATTTTCTTCATTGCACTGATGTTAAGACTGCACAGACATCCAGCAAGGTGTTTTTAAGATATGAACAACTCAATTTGTCTTATCACGTAAATATAGTTCAATTAGTCTACAGCTTTTTGAGCTCTTTCCAGTCCGCTTGGCTTTCATTCACATCTCTATTCCTAACACGCCACAGTTCACTTGAACTGAGCCGAGACCTAGATTTTGAGGGGGACCAAATTTCACTTTTTTGGTCTGGATCAGAGTTTAATTGTGGATTCACACCTTCCTTAACGAACCAAAGTTTCTGGCCAAACAAACTGTGGTCTAATAAAAGCGGACTAAACATGGCTGCTGTGAATATACATCCTTACTTTCAATTTATCAATGTCTTACCTGTTTTAATGTTAATGATACGGTAAAAGTAGGGATTTTAACATGATGTGGTGTTTTATAAAGCCTGAAGTAATATGAGTTAGGTGTTAAGTGTTTACTAAGATTAGTTAATCTTTTTTTTTTAACAAACCCAAGAAAACACATATGTGTTTGTAAGCACTGTGCTCTATGTTAATTTACTCTAAACAGCTGTTTCTAGTTTTTTTTTTTTTTTTATTGACTGTAGACTAGTGTAAAGCGTGAATAAATAATATTAGCACTGTATATAAATAAAACACAGTTACTATTTTAAAGATGTACCGTAATTTTCATGAATTTGGAAAACAAAATCCATTTCCAGTTTAATTTCAGGTCAGTATTGTCAGCATGTGTGTTCTGGTGTGTATGGAAACTGCATTCAACATTTAATTTTTTCACTTGACTTCCCTCTTATAATATAAATATTATATAGTATATAATATCATATATAATATAAATATTATCTGAGTAGGAGTAAAGTGTTCAGCCTATGTTTTGGAAATCCCAGGCTCCAAACAAAATTGGTGCCAATGAAATTGTTTAATACAGATTTCAAACACTTAAAAATTCAAACAGAATGTCTTTATGTCTAGTTAATGTCTAGTTAACTATTATTTAACTAGTTATTTTACCATTTAGATCAGGCATCCCCAACCTTGGTCCTCGAGGCCCACTGTCCTGTAGGTTTTATAGGTTTCCCTGCTTTAGCACAGCTGATTATAATGATTGCAGTAGACCAAAAGCCTGTTAATCAGTTTTCAATTAAAATCAGCTGTGCTGGAGCAAGGAAACCTCTAAAACTTTCAGGACAGCGGCCCTCGAGGACTGGTTGGGGATGCCTGATCTAGATGGTTAAATAACATTGAAACTAGGGAGGTATTTGATGAAATGTCAGAGAAAGTATCAATTAGGCTGTTTTGCTGATCCGATTTCCCTTGTATAGCTGACATCACGTGATGACATGTCAACATGAGGGTGGAGATTGGATGAGGACCCAAATTAATAAATGAGGAAGGTAGAGATGAGTTCTTGTAGGTTTAATGTGGTCAAAGGACTAGAAAGGAGCTAGGGGAAAGGAGACGGCCACAAGGGGGCAACGGAAAGAAACTGAAGACTGCTTAAATATAACACAAAATGGAAAAGATCAAAAGATCACACATCAATGAAAACTCATAAATAAGACTTGGGAGATTAAAACTGTTTTACAAACATTTTTTTTTTTTATTTAAATGTGTTAATTGGATAATTTGATGTAATATAAAACAACCATATACCCCTGCTTTAAACTCAAACCCACAGGATGTAAACCAAATCCACAAATTCCGTGTCCAAATTGAAAATTGAGTGCACATGCATAGGTCAAAATTAAAAGCAGAAAAACAAGTCTGAGACATTTCACCCCCTGAGAAAGAACAGATTTATTAACAAGAGGTAATCAGCATAGAGTACACTTTTATACAAAACTGGAAATACTACTCAAGCTGAAATAGACCGAAAGATATTTCTTATCACTGGGTATTGCTCACTGAAAACATCTGGTGTTCCTGTTGGAGGATACAGAGTTAAGGATGCAAAGTAGGGTTTAAATACAGTACACATACCATTTTATATATAGGTTTGATCTGATCACAAAGTGGAACATGCCTGCCACTTAAGCTTTAGGTATTTCTCTATACAAAGCGTGTAGAAAATACATATAAATATTTCAAGAAGCACATTGATACTACTGTGTAGCTCCTGCTAACACGTTAGGATAGAATGTGTTACACTTATAAGTTGCCTTAAAAATATATATCAGCGTGTCAAAGAGGGGATAGTATTCTAGGATTTAACAATCATAAGAATAACACGTCTCCAGGGATGCATCTTTGAGCATGTTACTAGATGCTTCAGACTGTCTGTACATAATACAATCTATCCTGGTTAATTGGCAAATTGTAGAACAAAGTAGTTCACATACTTTTGTGGAATATAATCCATTTCATGATTAAGGCAAAACCATAATGCACTATCAGAGGAGGGGCCTAACAGAAAGACTGCACCCTCCGGATCTGAATATAGAAGCTGGGAGCTTTTACTTCTGTAAGTGGCTCAAAAATGTTACATTTGCTACATACAATGCCTGGTGCTTACACCATATATACATGACACTGCCCACCAGGGGAATAAAATAAGCAAAGCAGTAAAAAAAATCTATAAAGAAACCTTCTGTTTCATTGCAATCCCTAGAAACATGTTTATCAGTCAGTGGTTACATAAAACAGAAAATGTGATTCAGCTTTAGTTGTCACACTTTTTCCCTAGGCTCTGCCGTAAACAACGTTATAACTTCTCAAAGATTTATAGAAATTGACATTTGTGTATGAGTATCTTTGAAGCTAATATCTGCATAACACAAATATAGCTTTTCTAAAACATAGAAATTAGTTTTCCATACCTTAAAGATTACTTTCCCAAATTTTCCATGCAATCTCCAGAAGCTTTGTAATGTAGGCAATAATTTCCTTCTAAGTTTCAGGAAGAAACCAAGAAGTTTCAGAAAGTGACCTGTAAGATCCAGAATGAATCTGACAAATTATAGAAAGTACTCAGTGAAGTTACCAGTCAGTTTTATGGAGATTAAAGGAAAGCACTTTGTATATTCAAAAAAATGGAAGTTTGATTTTCATAAACCCACCAGTAAGATATGCACTAAAGAGTAACTGGTAATTTTAGCAAGGTATAGTCTAATTACCTGAAAGCACATGGTAGCTTCTGAGAAGTTATCAGAAAGTTTCAAAATAAACAGGTCCTCCAAAGTTTAATACAAGTCCCTGGTAAGTGGTGGAAAGTTACCTTATATATTTTTGTAATATAACTGGAAATTGAAACTGGTAAATTCTAGGATAGAGTATTTTATTTTTAAGAAAGTACAATGGAAGTTCCAGAAAGTAACCTCTAAGATTTGGCTAAGAAAACGGTAAGTTCCTGAAGAATATGTGATCCTGGAACTCCTGATACATGAATAAGAATTTTAACAAAAAATTATTTTTGTCAAGGTTGGAAAGTTAACTTCCAGTTCTCTACCATTTTCAATGTATATATGCAAAGTCACGTTCAACGTAGACTGCAATCCTACAAACTGCCCTTAAAATCTGGGATTGTACAACAACCTGAAAATTAAATTTCTGGGATAATTGACAAGATCATTGATTTTACAATGAGAGCTTGTCGATAGCTCCTGCAGAGTCTTGACTTCAGTTCTCCCTAAGAGATTTTGTTTTATACTGCACTTTAGATGCAATTAAATATTACGTCTGCAAACTCTCCTTTCTATCTGTTCTCTAGTGCAAAATAAACAGGTCATAAAATAGCATTTAGGACAATATAGAACAAATAAATACTCTATAGAAATAAAACCTCTGTGGGCTTCTACTCAGTTTCTAATAACAATAATACACAAAGTTCATTAGGAAGAAATACAAGGAGGGCACAGCCTATTGTGTCTAATACAAATAAAGATAAATATGCATTTTTAAACTTTCTCTCTACATGTAGCATGTAATCATGATACAAATCCTCTTCATGATGACGTTTTGGGCTCAATTCTGAGAGATGCTTCATACAGGCTCTCTTCATCCATTACTGTGCTGTTGTCCAACAGGTATTTTGCTGCCTGCAACAATAAAAAGCACATTTATAAAATACTGAAAATAATTTTATTTTCAAGATCTATTTTTGGTAGGGAAATATAGAATAAGAACTGTATGTTCTTTTTTTCTCTAACGGATCTCTTCATGTGTGCTGCAAATTAGGAAGAATACTTTATCGTAGTCCTTAAATAACCTCCAGCCATTCAGCAGATTATCAGATTTTTCTTTTTATATGGTATGCTCATGTAAAGCACTTTGTTATTGTAATGTGCAATACAAATATATGTACGGTGCATGAGAAGTGAAAAAGCAGTAAAAATTTATAAACACGGAGCAAATACAACAAAAGTCTTGCAAGAAAAAACATAAATAGCAAACACAAAAAATAGGCAAACACACAAATAAAACAATGTTAAAACAATGTAAGAAGGGAAATACTGTAATCACAGAAAATAATAAAGAGCAGCAAATGCTGCTCTGCAAATGCACTGCAAATACATAAACATGCTGCAGACACAAAGCCCGCTGCAAAAACATAAATTACGCTATCACACAAAACAAATGTAAAAAAAACCATCTTCAAGTAGCAACAATAAATAAAAGTTAAGAAAAGCTGCAAAATAATTCTGCATAACAGAAGTCATGCAGACCACCGTTAGGGGAGATGAAGTTATATGGTAGCAGACCCGTAATATAGACATAGACAGGATGCTTGAAGAAAATAAAGCATAAATAATATACCAAATGAATGAGCACAAAACACGTATTTTCCAAATAAAGACAGACTAGATTTTTATGGAGCCCTTGATGATAAATATACACACATATTTACACAACATGCTGTTGAAGATAATCAGTCATCCAGGTCATAGTCATTCCAAAAAAGTTAAGAAAATAATCCACTGGACTTTGCTTCCAAATTTGAAGACCTGATAGCACAGACATAAACAGGCCCATTCCCATAGGCGGACCCATTTGTCTGTGTTGGGAGCTGGAGAAATTCCACCTTTCTCCAGCAGAGTCCGCCGTGGATCCTCTGAGGGAGCCTCCTGCACAGCTGCAGTTCATCAAGATCATCAGAGGATCCACTACTTAAGCTGTCTTCAGACCTTGCCTCAACGCCGCAGTGTTGTTCCAGTTGGTCAGCGCTTAAGCCTAGATCCTCAGTGAAACTCTATGACTTTGAATCCAGCCTGGATTCTAACTATTGTCTCTGTCTTCCAGGAAACCTGTGCCTCCTCTGTGAAAGCTCAGGAAGAGCTAACCTGCCGAGCCGACCCTCAGAGCCAAACCTGAAGAATCTCAGAGAACCTCCAAGCAGCTCAGGACTAGAGCTGAAAAACCCAAAACCAAGGTCTGTTCATTATAGACGTGAGACGCTGAAGCAGCAAACGGACTCTGCTGTTGAACTCCTCTCCAGATCCAACAGTGACTCTCCCAAGGCTAACCTCAAGAACCCTCAAGGTACAATCAGTGATCTTCTGGAAATCAAACCTCTGTTGGCAACGCTAACTGAACTGTCTCTCACGCAGACTCCGGTGAACCAGTATCCAGGCCCCGAACCAGAACCAGTACATTCTGTGTGCTTGTGCATAATAAACTTGTTAAACTTTCATCCCTGTGTCCGTCAGTGGTGTTCTGCATTCTTGGGTCGCTTTTAGTGAACCCATCATGACAGTCTGGTTCAATTAGCATGTTTTCTAAGCCAAAATAAGGCTTTGTTTCTGGTCCACTCTATAAAGCCTTGAACTGAATGCTATTTCTGACATTTTGAATAAAAAAAGCTTCCTTGATTGGAAACAAAATGTCTTCAAACTTGGAAACACGGTCCAATGGATTGTTTTTTTTTTTTTTGTTTTTTGTTTTTTACTTTTTTGTAATATTTGCATAACCATTCATGGACAATCTTTCATTTCGAGTTTAGGATGATTCATTTATTGGTTGTTCCAGACATTAGTCTTTGTGATGGACTTCCCTAAACCATGTGCTCTTGGTGCGCATGCATATTTCTGTTTTTTATATATCCGCTTAGCTTTGGTTTCAGGTATTTATTGTAGCCTCTGCTACTCTCACTTTAAAAAAAATAATAAAGCCTGCGAGTTCCAAAAATCTAGTATTCTTACAAGTTCATGGAAAGAAAAGGAAGGCAGAAAGATATAAGAAAGACAAAAGACCAGAGTGTATTTCTGATATTATTTAACATGGTGGCAGAGGGGCAGGTAGGAGTTCATGCTCATGCTCGGTTATTCTCAAAGCAATTTGGTAATTTCTTAAAAACATTTTTACATCTTAAATGGAGATGTGCTTGAAAGTTTAGACACAATCCCGTTAAAGAAAAGGCTAAATTCAAAACAGTTTATTCAAAATAACAAGAAACTGACAGAAAAGATAAATTAAGATTAACTAAATTATGATATAGTAATTTGAAATATAGTGAATTTAATTGTGGTTTTAAAATGATGAAAGCAAACAAAGAAAAGTTCCAGACACGTTAGAGCCGCTTGTTAATGAACATTCCACCAACATACCATCAACAGGTGCAGAAATCTGACTGAATATTTCAGAAAACACCTTATTGCACTGATTCCCTTAAAACATTGCTCAACATTTTAGGAACTCCATTGTGCTTGTGTACTTTTTTTTCATTAATATTGCTTTTGAACCATTATTCAGAATACTATGTCATGATTTCACTGGCAGCTGATTTTTTTCCATCTCTAATGGAAGCTGAATAAGCACTCAAGCACATATAAAAATTGAAGAATAGTAATACTAATAATTGAAGTTATCCCTCTGCTGCCTGAGGGACTTAACCAATCAATGTGTTTCAGATTTATTAAGAGATATAAACACTGATATAGGCTACTCTTACTTGAACTGGCCCCCCCCCCCCAAAAAAAATTATCTGATATCCTTGATGAGGCTTTCTGTGCGCATACACAGTAGGATTTATAATGTTAATAGGCATCCAGTTAGCTTGTGATAATTAGCACCTTAGATTTTATAAACACATGCAAATGACTGTAGCAAGCTTCTCCCATTCCAGTTTAAACATGACAGTGTTAGTTAAAGTTACCCAACTCCTACCAGCACATAAGGAGTAATTTAAGTTTAAGAGCAGCAAGCATGAGGACTGGTAATTGTAATAATGCATTTATATTAAGTATAAGTCAAGCATTGTGCAGCATATCCTGGTTAAAGCAAGACACTCAAACTACTATGGCAGGTCAACCGCTGGAAGAACATAGTTCTGCATGGAACGCTCAGACTGGCTCCCCTCCCAAGTGGGAACGTAGGATGATGGATTAAACTATTTTAGAGGTGTGGGGTTAAAATATTATTTTTTAAACCAGTTACTATATATAGTATTTACAATGTTAAAGTTTGTTTTTCTTATGTGCTTTATTTTAAAAACCACAAACATAATAAATTAACAACTTGTGCTTTGATTAATTTAGGGGTTCTTCAGCACCCCCAAAGTGGACTAAAAACTCCTATGGTTTTGGCTACTTTCAGTATTTTTACTTTGCATGAGTTTTGCATGTTTATATGCTAGCATAATCAATGTGTTTGCAGCAGGTTTTGTGTTTGTAACACAACCAAACTTCAGTGCTCTATCTTTTGATTGCAGGATTTTTCTTTCGCATGATTCATGTTTTTCCTTTGCACGTGTTTTGAGTTTGTGTTTGATAATTCCACTTTTTTTTGTATGCTGTTTTTCTGAATTTGCTGTACATTTATGTACTTGCAGTGTATGTATGCTCATTGTTCACTATGTAATATAGTTTTCTTTGTCTTAACTGCACATTTCATCTGATAAATTCAAAATAGATATTTCTTAGGGTTAGAAATCGCTCTCATTCAAGATTTTTTTCTGTTTCCACAAAGTTTGATTTCTCTGAGATGTTGTGTACATGTTGGTCTAAATTTGTCTTTGTGAACACTTCCATCCATCAACATTACATTGTTTGTTATCATGCTGCAATATGAGGTGGTTGGCTTGAATAAAAAGCCCATCGATTGCCTCAGGATCATGTAATGGTCTGAACTATCAATGTGCTCCTGTGTGCGTTGTCTGCCCATACCATAACACAAACACCATGGGCAACCCGATCCTCAACGCCAACAATGGAAAACCTCTCACCCACATAGCATCATACTCACTGTCTGCCATCTGCCCCGTACAGGGAAAACCTAGATTTATCCGTGAATACCTCTCCAAAGTGCTAGACGCCATCGAATGTGGGAATTTAGTCAAGTGTCACCCTTAGAAGATGGAACTCTCTTACAGTAGAGAAATGAAGATTAATTTTAAGAGCAGGAACTCTAGTGGACATTGCTGTAGTCCACATTGCATTGCTCCTCTGGTATTGTGCTGTGTGACAAAACCACACATTTCACAGCGGCCTTTTACTATAGCCAGCCTGAGCTTACTCATGCCATCTATCAAAATTTTAGGATACCAAACATTTGAGAATATCTCAGAGAGAAGCGCTTTCTGTATATAACAGTGTTATTGTCACTTGAGGGTGACTATCACTCACTCACTCACTCACTCACTCACTCACTCACTCACTCACTCACTCACTCACTCACTCACTCACTCACTCACTCACTCACTCACTCACTCACNCACTCACTCACTCACTCACTCACTCACTCACTCACTCACTCACTCACTCACTCACTCACTCACTCACTCACTCACTCACTCACTCACTCACAAAGAGGTGTTCTCACCTTAGGCTGAAAATCGATCTTGTAAGCTGTTTGCTGAAACTGTCGAATCTCTCTGATAATGTGCGAAATCTGGAGACAAATGGAACGACTTTCTGTCATATTCACCCTATTCATAACACATTTTGAAAACATTACTAAAAAAACAAATGCTATATTTAATTAAACAGTGGTCGGTTTATGCAACCATTTTATTGTACTGCTTCAATCTTAATCAAAGCCTTAAAATCGATGATATGTTAATATGACATTTTTGTTTACCATTCTCATTTTCGAGAAGTTGACCAGGTTGTCCTCTGTGTAGTTTGGTGTTCCTTCTTCAATGAAAGCCAAGTCAGTCAGGTACATTCCCAGGTAAGGAACACATGGAGGGTCACAGCTGAAGCATGCATGTCACAGAGGGAGAGATGTGGTTAAAAAGAAGCACATTTGTAAAAAACAAAAAAAAATCTAGTAAAAACAAGCTTACTTTTTTAGAGCCTCCCTTAGGTTTTTGAACCGACCCTCTGATGACACGAGTTTCTGCAACTTGTCGATCACAGTTTTTGTCTAGAAAGCGGATTAAAGAAAACCTTTTACCATTTGGGAAAATCTCTGTACATCAAAATGTCTACCATTGCTGTTTTTTGATCATCAAACAGGTTTTAACAGGTTCAACCATATTTCATAAAGGAGCAAAGGATCTTAAATATCCAATTTTATGATTTTCATTTTTTGCACTTTCTTTTTTGGATCAACAGAAAATTACTTTCATCCAGAATGATCTATACCAAAAAAAACGTTTCTCAGAAGATATCAATATATTGTTGAGAAAACCTGCCTAAACCTAAGAAAAAGCTATGTTTGACACACTGCTGTGTTGAATGATTTCTGAGAAAAAGTCTAATACTCCTTTCCCACTGGCCGAAAAACCTGTTTAAACCCGGGAACAAATTGCTTTAAGTGGGAGTGGGAACAGCTCACTGACACCCGTCTACCCGGTTCAAATGACTCATCAAGTGACCTGGATTAAAATCTCGTTGGTTCTTATACGGCAGACCCGGGCTCTGTTTGCAAAGTTGATCTGCTAAATTACATAAAACCAACGTACGGATGTAAGCAGAAACATTTTGTTTACATTCGATAAACATGACGCAGCACTGGTGAGAGGGATTTGGACAGATAGTGAAAAAATACAGCAGTTTCTACGCCCTGTTTGAATGTTTACATTCTTGATTTCTGTCGCACTGGTGACATCATCAATGCAACCCAGCGTGATTGTGTCTCAAGACACGCAGCGGTGGGGGACAGAGGCCCGTGCAGCTGCCAGCGGGAGGTTAGACCCAGCTTTTTTTGCCTGTAGGAAGGGAGCCAAATGTCCATCATCAGCGGGTCACCCCATGTTTGAAAAACAAAGGTTAACCCGCAATTTTCTGTGGGAAAGAAGATTATAAGTAGACTCTCTCCCACACATCAGCGGATGGTACCTGCTTGGAAACTTTAAGCCAGGTTCTCTTGAGGCGGAAAATGGAGCTCCGGTTTAGAGAAGACGTGATCTCCAGCACGGCGTTGTAGTTGTGAAGGCAGCGACAGATGTCTGCCACAGCCACCCACTTCTCGATCACTGCCACCCGCATGTTGACATCATCCCAGTGAAGGATCTCTGAAGCAATCCTGTTACTGATCTAACAACAACAAAAACACATTACTTTTTATTATGGTTTATGAGTAATTTAAAGCCCAAACCTTGCAAAACCTGCACAGCGGAGCAGTGGGTAGCCCTGCTGCCTTGCAGCAAGAAGGTTCTAAGTCCCTTTCCAGTGTCATTCAGCATAGAGTTTGCATGTTCTCCTCCCACAGTCCAAAAACATGACTGTTAGGTTCTTGGCTTCTCTCATTTCTCCTAAGGTGTGAGTGTGTGCGTGAATGGTTGTTTGTTATTGTCTCTGTGTTGCCCTGCAAAAGGCTGGATACCTGTCCAGGGTGTACCTCGCCACTTGCCCATAGACTGCTTGAGATAGGCATCAGCACCCCTCGCAACCCCAGCTGGGATAAGCGTGTCAGAAAATGGATGGATGGATGACAGCCCAAACCCATATTGTATAAGACAAGTAACGGCTTTAGATGTGATGCTTTCTACGTTCCAAGCAAGTCCCACTGGAAGGAGGCCCAGAAGATAGCCCAGGGCATGCTAGAGAGACTATGTATCTCAGCTGGCCCTGTAACAACTTGGGCTCCCGCAGATGGAGGAGGTGTCTGGGGAAAGGTAGGTCTGGGATAGCCTGACGTAGTCAGACTCAATTCTAGTCAGAATATGAGTCTGATACTGCTCCATAGAGCTGTGATTATGGGGCGTGTTTTGAACGAACCAGGAAAAAAAATGCCTCTGTACTCAATTGGATAGACCTACAACCAATAAGAGCAACGGAGTGCGCGACCCATCTTAAGCGAGGGATAGT